TTTTTGACGATACCCCGGGAGGGGTTTCTTTGGGAAACCAACAAGATCCCAACATGTTTTGAAGGGGGGGAATTCCCCCCCTTTGGTTTTGGAGTGGCTTGAAAACCACACCAGCAGGACACGCACACTCTTGGGGGTTCCCCTCTTTTTGGGGTGGTTTGAAGGGAAACCCCAAGAAAACCCACCCCTCCGCAGGCTGCGGAGGCCGCGCCCCGGGCCTCCGCGCAGCGCTGCTGGCCGCCGAGGCGGCGGGCGCCGCTCCCGCGGCGCGGTGGGCGCGGCGGCGGCTGCGGCGGAAGTTGGCGCTGGCCGCGGGGGGAGCGAAGCACTGGGGCGAGGTGGACGCTCGAAGCGAAGCTTTTTCATACTGTGGATGGTTTCGAAATCCAATTCGCATTACCTAAGAAACCCATCGGAATGATTTGATTCCCCTATAAGTGCCAACAAACGTTATGGTTTCAACCATGGCTTCAACGTGGTGCAGGATTTCGTCCATCCACAGTAGGTGTCCTTTTCAGGGTACTTTGCTCCAAAATAGACGCGTTCCACTGGCTTAGATGCATCTTATTCCATTTACCAGGGCCGTCTATTTCTCCAAATGGCCACCTATGGCAGCTTTTGGCAGCTGGTGCGAGAGATGCAGGGAATGAGAGGTGGAATGAACCCAAGAATTGGTGCCCTGAAAGGAAACCACCAGTTGGATGGTTTATAGGGTCATTCCCACATTCCCTACTGAGCACCAACAAGTTTTGGCGGTTGGGTCTTATGGATTTGAAGCCTCGAACTCCTTTTGGTTTAACCAAGGTGAAAAGGGTAATCTCAACAAACGAAGAACATAGGGGGTCCCCCAAAGGAAGCCAACCGCCAGGGGTGCTAAGTTCGAGAAGCACCCATTTGCGGGCCGCCAACTTTGTCGCAAGGGCATGGAGCATTTTCTTTGGGAGGGAGATGCGGGGGATCGATCGACGTCGCCGCCCATCAAACGCCATATATTCGAGGCCCAATGTTTACCAAGACGAGCGCTGGGGGGAGCTGGGGAGGTGATGGAATTGGGCCGGGACTTGGGGGACTGGATCGAATTGGGCTTCACGAAATAGGGGAAACTGAAGAAATGGGTTGTTTCATTTTAGTGTCCCTTTCACAAACATCCAAAAAGGGTAGCCTCCAAGAAGGACACACCCAATTGTATTGAAGTCTTTGACGCGATCCACGGAGGTTGAATTCATATTGCACCTTGGGTACATACATACATACATACATACATACATACATACATACATATATATATATATATATATACATATTACATATTGCATATTATATATATATATATATATGTGTATGTATATATATATATTATGTATATATAGATAAACATATTATACACATTCATCTATCTTTCAAACCAGAAGGCAGATTCAGCTCGCTGAGGCTGGCGCCATCAACCAGCTCTCCCAGCTCGACTGCTTTGAGAGCAGCCGCCTTCTCGCCGGCAGCGCGGCGCAGGTTTGGATGGCCATGGAAGGTGGGGCCAGCAGATCTTCGGTGAACCACGGAGATCCGGTTAAAATATGTGTCTCAAAATAGGTTGGGGATCGATTCCCAAAATGTGTGGTTTTAGATCCTGAAATTAAAAAGGGTGTGTCGCGGTACATAGGTTGGGAACCTCCCCAAAACGTTTGGTTTTCTCTTTGGTTTCCCTTTAAACCACCCCCGAAAAGGGGTACGTACGTCAAGAAAAGACACACTCAAATGGATCTGAAGACAACTCAGATCTTGGTCCCGGTTTTCAGGTTTTTAGTTGGTTTGCAAAATGGTCAGCTTCGAAAGTACCTAAAGGGGCAGGGTACTTAAGACGGCAACACGCAAAAGCCGTGGTTATAAGGCTGTGGGTCAAAAACAGGACCCTAAATGGAGCCCTGATAAATGGAAGCAAGGACCAAAACCTGCGGTCCAATTCCTGATGGTTTAGTTTTGACCCGCAGTAAGTCTCGCCCTGAAAAAGTCTGCGCGCAAGTGGAGCCAAGCCGCGCCAGGGACCCACTCCTCGGCCAAGCCCCGGGACTTCTACGACGTGGGGAGCCTCAATGCCCGCGAGGCGAAGTTCGCCGCGAGCGAATTTGGCGAGCCAGCCCGATTGGTCGAGGAGCTGGCCAGGGGTTCCGAGTCCGAAGGGAAGCTCCAAACGTGGATTCGTTGCAAGGGAAGCTATTTGTCAAAGGGGGGATTCTTTTTGGATTTCCCCTTCAAAAGTGGAGCTTTCAAAGTTGGTGAATTCATCTATCTCAACTTTTGAAGGGGAAATCCAGGCTTGATGGACCTGCGGGTAAGTCACGGACTTGGCATGGACGTGGGGAAAAGGTTGACCCCGGAGTTCCATGTCATAGGCGCACATCCCCAGCCAGAAATGGGTGCAGCGGCGTTTGTTTTTTCCTTTTTACAGGGTTCTGGGTAGATCATTTTAATACCGGGCTTTGATTATGACTCACCTTTTGATGGTGATACTGTGGCTGGACGAAATCCGTTCGCACCACTTTGAAGCCATGGTTGAAACCATAACGTTGGTTGGTATTTGCAGGGGAATCGAACCATTCCGTTGGGTTTCTGAACGGCGGTGCGATTTCTGGATTTCGATTTCAACCATCCACCCATGGTAGACTTAAACCCAGAGTTGGTTCATTACCCCGAAAAGGGGGAACATTCTGGGTTTAAGGTTTTCTTGTAGTCAATTCTGGGTTTCCTGGAACGGGTGGTGCAAGACTCGCGGATTCCACAGCAGCCTATGGCGAGCCGAAGCCGGGGAGCCGGGGCAGGTCCTGGCAAGAAGTGGCCAGCTGTCTGGAGAGGAGGCCTGTGAGTTGCGAAGCGATGGATTCGGCCTGTGGGATTTTAAACCATGATTTGGCTCTGTGCCGCCCTCCAGGGTTTTAACATGGTTGGCTTTGTGCCGCCCTCAATAGGGGGCAACCAGTTTTTGGGGTTGCAAGGAGAACACCCAAGCACAAAACAAGCGTGAGGATTGTGGACGGGCAACAAGAGAGATTTTCTTTGCACCTCAAACAGCAGCATGACCCAAGGACTCTGATATCCATCCTTTTCCTCCCCATTCCTGATTTTATTTTCCATTTTTTCCCTTTCCCAATGTTTATCATCCTTCATGAACGATCCTTGAATGTTTGTTGATCACAACTATGTGGTGTGAGCGATTCTTTTCGGGACCCCAACATAGTGGTTTTCCTTCTGGCTGCAACAACAACACTCACCCGACGTTGAACATCCAAGTAAGTCCATGACTCAATTCTCCAGGTCTATTCCAAGGGCAAATCTCGGGAATAAACAAGGCCGGACCAACATTTCACTAGGGACCCCCTCAAGCATTGGGTCCCGTGACACAGCCAAGGCTCTGGTCTGTGCCCAAATTCACAAAAAATCCAGGCATTCACAAAATCCAGAGAAATCTGGATCGATCTTTGACTTTCGGAATTCTCTGAGGGAATATGTTCCTTTCGGGATTCCTGCCCAAATTCACAATCCCCAAATGGGACTCCTCGCCTTTTTCTCCCAAAAAGTTAAAATCCTTTTCAGGTTTCGGAATGCCTTGAGGGAGAAAGAAGTGAAATGACTTTCGGCAAATCCATATATATATATATATATACATTCGTAGAATGCTTTTTTTCGCAGACAGAAATGCCGGGTGGGGGGGGGGGTTTTCGTTTTCGGCTTCGCAGGCGGCGCGGAAGGCGGTGGCGCGGCGCCTGGCGTTTGCCTCCGCCGCGTCCACGGAGGCGCCCGCGGCGGCGCAGCTGGCGGCTTGGTGCCGCGCGGAGCTCGCGCCTGGGCACTCTCTTGGGTGGGGTGGGGTGGGGTGGGTTCTTGGTCATAGGCGTCCTTTTGATCGGTTAGTTTGCCTAAAATTAGATGGGTTCCACTGGTTTAGATGGGTTTTGTTTCATGTGCAAGGGCCATCTATTTTTCCAAAAGGCCACCTATGCTCCTTTTTTTTTAAAGAAGAAATGAAGCCAAAAGGAGGCCGAAGAGAAGGTTTTGGGGGGTTCCGATTCCTGTTCATGTGTCTTTCTTTGGCACCTTTCTTGGGCAGCAAGAGGAAGCCGTGGCCATGTTTTGGGTCCCCGACACGCCCAGAAGGGAACTTGGCAAAAAAATGATCGGTCAAGCGAAAGAGGTCATGAATTCTAGTGAATGTGTTCGAAGTGTCCTGAATGCTCCTCTCAAAGATTCGTTCAATGAACTCTGCTTGTTATCCTGCATGTGTCTGTTTCTTCCCGCAACCCTGGCGTATGACGTGGACAGAACATGACACCTGGTGCGTAGAACAATCGCAGCCAGTTGGAAAGAGCAGTTCCGAAGCCAAGAAAGAACTATGAGCAATGCTCAGCATTGGTCGATTTGATCTTAGGTGGTAGCATGCAGTCTCCACAATTTTTGCAGTCAATGATGGCCGGTTCCTTTGTCAGACATCGACCGTGTCGGAAAGAAATCCATGAGGAGAGCACCTCTCCCAGGGCTTTTCGAATTTGACTCGGGAAGCGCAGAAGAATCCGATCTGGGTGGGTCCATCGCAGTCAGGTTCTGTTCCTCAGGTGATCCACAATGAAAACCCGGGCAGATGAAGGTTGTTAGTAGGGGACAATCCTCTTGCCATAAATAGCTGCGGATCTCCGCCTTCTGAATTCTTGAAGCATGGCTCTGGGGATCGACCATTTTGATTATCAGGTGCTGCCTCCGAAGCCCTGGTGGCTGAGACTCTGGCGCTGGCTCTGCGGCCTGCGGCCTGCGACTTCGATTTGTCTCCCGCGGGTGGAGACGGAAAAAAAACGCCGCGCGGGTGGAGAGAAGCGGCCTTCACAGGGGTGACGTGAGGTAGGTCGATCCCGTTTTTTGTGAGTCTTTTGGTCAGGCGGAATGGGCAGATTCCGAATGACTCCGATTAAATGGTCAGAATTGCCACGAATGTGCCTCCCATGTCAAGTGCCTTGGAGGACAAGCTTGGGACACTTCGGAAGGTGGCGCAGGAGCTTGGGTGAGGTTGGCTGTGCCACTGTGGCTGGACGAAATCCGTTCCCACCACTTTGAAACCATGGTTGAAACCAAAACGTTGGTTGATAACTACAAAAACAAGTCGACTCAGAAACCAGGGCTTCTGAAGGGTGCGATTTTTGGATGGGAGAACCATCCACCGCGTTTTTTCCCAGCCGAAGCGCCCCGCGCAGGATCCGGATCTGAAAGCTGTGAAGCTCCACTTGGCCTCCTGGGGTTGCTGGCTCAGAGACGCACGCCGCCGGCTTGCCCCGTGACGATGGGACCGGAGAGATTTTGGGTGTCTGGCACAGGGGGGTTTCCGGGAAGAGAGCGCAGATGTGGCACAGTGGGGTTTGCTGCACACCTCGCTTTCGCAGCATTTTTTTTCGGAATTCTCCGAGGCTACTGCACCCAGAAAGACATCGATGTGGCTGGCAGCTCGGGGAATCTCCGGTGGCGAATTGGGGGGGCGCACTCCTGCGGCGAAGATGGTCACCAGGCCACATACCCGCTTGGTTTTAAGGGTATGATGTCAACCCCTGACTACAAAAAGGAGGTATTTGCCTATGAAAACCCGTACCACTTGTCTGTCCTACTGCAGCCCAGCTGGTGCGTGAGTGCAGCAGTTGGAACCTATCTGACATTATCTGACAACCGGAAACACAGTTTTTGCCCCAAACACACCCTGAACAAAGCGAATAATAAAAGCTTGTAAATAGGATTAGGAATAGATAATAAAAGATGTGGATAGACAATAATATGATGAATCCTAAAGTGAATGAAATTAGAAAAGGAAATGAAAGGTAATAAAAATGATGGTTCCATCTAATTCACGAGAACCAGGATATGGAAAGGACAAGATATAAGTGAGTGAGATTTCTTTTCCCATCTTTTCATTCTATTTCTCTCACATTGTGTCATCTCTTTTATCTCTCTGTAATGACTGACGAGTGAAGTGAGGAAGGAATGGACCTCTCCCGGCCACAAACCTAACCAACTGGCCGGCCTTCCCTTCTCTCTTCGTCTCTTTCGGTATTTGGAGGGTCCTGATAGCCTGGCATTCGTTCAGGTCCAGGCGGGCCTTGTGGAGGGAGTCTCGCTGCTCAGCCAACAGAGTTTGGAGGCAGGATGCTTGTCTGGCCACTTCCCAACTGTGGATGGTTCTCCCAAAATCCAGAAATCGCACCACCGTTCAGAAACCCAGCCCAACGGAATGGTTCGATTCCCCAACGTAGATACCAACAAACGTTATGGTTTCAATCATGGTTTCAAAGTGGTGCGAACACATTTCGTCCATCCACAGTGGGTCCTTTTTGGTTGATTTGGTTCAGATTCATAAAATCGATGGTCCTGGTTTTGGTTGATTGCTTCTTTTTGGTTGATTTGTTTGAGTTGGTCCAGAAAATAGAGGGCCCTGGTTTTCCTGCTTTGAATTTCCAGGGCATCTACGATTCCAAAATCACAAACCTATGTTTCCAGCTTTCTCTCCTTTGTTTTCTTTTGCTTGGAACATCGATGGGACCCCTACTCCAAAACCTCGGGGCAAGTATTGTTGGAATACTTTTGTGGTTTCAGGAAGCGCCTTCAAACGGCCAAGACGTAGCTCCCTTTAAGCAGAGCTTCAACGGCCCAGTCTTTTCTTGCTTCGCCGCTTCCGCCAGTCCCTTGGCGTTGAGCAGCCCTGGCTCTTCTGAGTCGCTGGCGCGCCAATTTTTAACAGGCAAGGTTTCTCTTGGCTCCCAGACCGGTTCCGTAGCGTTTCAGCTTCTTAGTTGGCTTAGTGGCAGTTTCCATTTAAGCCACAAGTTAAACTTTTAGCAGGGGATCTGAGGACAGCCCATTGTTCTTTATCTCTATGGAAGAAGTTTCACGCAACTGTTGAGGGCGCTTGACGCCGGCGAGTGGCCTGTTGGCAGTGCAAAACTGGATGGCTGGATTGATGTGGACAAAGCAGGCAACAGACAGACCACCCCTGTGAGCGGCGCTGACAAGACATTCTGACCTACTTTGCAGCTGCAAGTAAGTGTTCGTCAAGATTCATTGGCATGTACTGTTTCGGGATATCATGAAGGCACCGATGCTGAGACAGGCTTGCTAGAAAGGAAGCTATAGTTGAGTAGCTCTGTCCAAAGTCCATTTTCATTTTGTATCCGAGAACCAATCAGACAACTTGTCGGGCCACACGGGCCATTGGGAAACGGTTCCCAGCTCCGGTGACTCCCAGTTTGAAGGACCATGTTTTGCCCAAGGGCGAAAAGACCCACTTGAGGCAGGCAAGGATCAGGCGACGTCAAAAAATTAGGCCTCCTTTGGCCCTGAGTGTGTCTTTAAGGTTGGACTCAAATGGTTTTCCCTTGAAACCCCCACCAAAGGGAGTACCTTTCCAAACAAAGTAACCCCCCCCCCCCCAAAACGCACTTGGACAATTTTCGACCGGTTTCCGTCCTGTACCGAACAAAGAAAAAAGAAAGACAAATAACGCCCAAGCGTTGAGAAGCCAAGGCCCGGCTGGCTGCGAAGCAGTGCTGGGAGGATCATGGAAAGCTCTTGGTCAGGTGCCCGGAGCGGTTTCAGAGGTCGAGCGGTCAGGTGCGTGGGAAGAACCACAGATGGGTGGCTCGTCTTTGGGGGGTGCCTCTTGCTTGGTGTTGTTGTTGTTGTTGTTGTTGTATTTTTGTGAGTGGGTACCCCCTGTCTCTTTTTTCAGGGTACCCCCCACTTTTTTTGGTGGTTTCAAGAGGAAAGGAAACCCGTTGACATCGCCAGTTTGGGGGGTCAAGCCCAGAAACAAGACATCCTTGTATGGGGGTTTGAGGGTACCCTTCGCAGGGTTTGGGAAGACAACAGGACAACCACCATTCAACGGGCCCCCCTATGTTGATATGGTGAATGCAAGCTTTAATTCAAGCAGCTCCTGGCTCGGATTTGAAGCTTTTGTAGACTGAAACGCTGTCGTGCCCGAGGCCTTACAGGCCCGATGGCGCCGCTTTCAGACCACAAAGCAGGAGGCTGGTTCTGTGACGAGAAAGAAGTCAAAGTGGCCGTTGTTTTTGGTTCCGTCGCAGATGTTGGACGTTGGTTTCCTCGCTTCTCCTTCCTCGTGAGTGCAAGGAAGGCAAGATTCAATGAAGGACTTCATCCTGGTTGGCTTCTTTCAGAAGCCTTGGGGTCGATGGGGGGGCAAATCGGCAGTTCGGAGGGGCCCAGGGTTCCTTGGTTCCTTTCGGGGTTGCTGGCAGGTTTTCTCACAGCCATCCGGTTCCTTAGAACTCTGAGTTGTTTTTCGTGGGGTTCGAGTTTTCGGGGTTTTTAGTTGGTTTAACGAGGATTTCCATTTAAACCACTACAACTTATATGGGTATGGGTCAAAATTAAACCACCAGGGGACCGCAGCTGTTGGTCCTTGTTTCCATTTACCAGGGTTCAATTGTGCCTATTTTTGACCCACACATAAACCCTAAACCCTAAACCAGCCCTAAACCTTGCCAGATCTGAAAACGGAGAGCCCGGATCTGGTTCTGGCGCAGCGAGGTGCAGCAACGACGGCGCCGGAGACAGCTGCGAGGCATTTGGACTGCTGCCGCCTGGATGGCGCCGGGGGGCCTAGGGAACGGAGAGACTTACACGGGCCATCGAGGAAGGGTACGTCAGGTACCGCCAGGCTTCCAACCACCAGGCTTGCTAGCCACTTACTAAGTACAATGTCCCTTTAAGGAGTTTTCGTAGAACATTGTGTGTAAGTCGCCAAGTTGCAAGCGAATATGGGCCGCTTGTATGGTCCTGACCGCTTTGGGACTTATTTGAAATCAGGGTTACCATACCAACTACAAATTGGCTGCAAAAGGAATTTGTATTGACGAGAGTATAGGCAATCTGCGACCGGCCCACTTCTTACCCCCTGTTCCACAAGCTCTCGACCTCCGACAAGCGAAGTTATTGGACACACCTGTGCTTGCACGTCGCCCCCAAAGCACAATCTGCGGGTTGCTTGTTTTGACTTGTGTCCAAACAGACCTGGCTTGTAGAATTCGCTGGTGAGTGTCTTTTTCTGAGGGTCATTCTTCGGGGTTGGTGGATTTTTTTTGGAGGAGCCAACAGGACACCACCCATTTTGGAGGTTCTGATTCCAGCTGCTTGCTGGTGAGGGAATGAGTAACGGACTGAGCCCTATTAAAAAGAAAAAAAAACACCCTCAGACTGGTGGTTTCCTTGCAAGCGCAACCTTTGGTAGGTCTAGGCCCTATGAAAACCATCCGACCATCCGACTGGTGGTTTCCTTTCAGTGGTTTTTCAGGTTCATTCCCCTATTGCAATCCGCAAGTTTGGTAGGCAAACCATCCAATGGGTGGTTTCCTCGGGGTTTTTCAGGTTCCTTCCAACTCATCGACCTCTCGCAATGGCAGCCTTAGGTATCAGATGTCCCGGCTCCAGCGGGAGCGCCGGCTCCGCGGCCGGCAGCGGCTGCTGGGCACCTTCTGGTGCCTGGCCCGAGCCAGGCGCGGAGCTGCCTGGGTGGGAGGGGGGGGGGGGGGGGCGGGCAGAGGCAGGGGGAGTCACGCGAAATGGGGTGGAGCTCTTCCCAAATCAGCAGGCTCATAGTCTGAGGGTCTACAAATATATATATATATATATATAATACATTATATATATATATATATACACATGCATATCTGCATGTTTCCAGTTGCTCATGTGGGTAAAACGTAGCATCAGGCGTCGGAACAGCCAAAACAGCATACATCCCTGAAATATGGGAAGTAGCCCGCACATGGTTGTTTGCATGTGTGTGCTTGCTTTGCATTCATGCGATTGTGTGTCTACTTTCATGCTGCTGCTGCCACTGCTGCTGCAATTGATGTTTCTGTTGCTTGGGCTGCTGCTGCTACTGATGCTGATGCTGATGCTGATGCTGATGCTGATGCTGATGCTGATGCTGATGCTGATGCTGATGCTGATGCTGATGCTGATGCTGATGCTGATGCTGATGCTGATGCTGATGCTGATGCTGATGCTGATGCTGATGCTGATGCTGATGCTGATGCTGCTGTGGTTGTGGGGACTCATGATGGTGATGGTGACAGTGATGGTAAGTGATGTTGGTAATGCAAGTGATGCGGGTGAGGCTGAGTGATGCCGATGATGCTGGTGATGCTGGTAATGCAAGTGATGCTGCTGAATGGTGATGACGAATATTGTTTCATGGGGGTCTGGTTCAGCTTTGCAGAGCACCCAATTCTGCATGCCTCGAGAACATGACCAAGGCAAGAGCTCATTTTTATGACTTGCGTTGTTCTTCTCTAAATGCGCGTTTAAGCTTGGTCCGTTCGAATGGGCCAGCGCCTGCAAAGCTTCCGGATTCGCTGCCAGTGATTGAGATTTGCTATGATTTTCGCCCCTCTCAAGCCCATCGCATCTTCCCCACAGGCAAGGTCTTGGACCTTTCTCCTGAGACGGCTTTGTCCCTTTAAAAGCAACAAACAAAGGGACACCTGCAGAAAAAGACGCGCCACCTAATATTGCCCTTCGTATTCCCCGATGCATGAAATCTGTCAATCCTTAGGTTTATAAGGCATGAAAGGTTGATGGAATGAAGGATAATTGTACAGTGGATGGGCGAAATCTTGCACCACCAAAGGAGCCCTGGAATGATGATTTCCCTGCAAATACCAACAAACAATGGTCTCCTATGGATTCAAAGTGGTGCGAAATGGATTTCGTCCATCCACACTATGGCCACATTGACATAGACACAAACACACAGAGACACAGACACCTCACAGAGACACAGACACAGGTTTATGGCATGAAAGGCTACTGGAATAAAGGATATTGATACTAATGGATGGACGAAATCCTGCACCACCTAAGAAACCATGATAACCATGGTTGGCTGCTATTTACATGGGGAAGCATCATTCCAGGGTTCTTAGGTGGTGCAGGATTTCGTCCATTCACAGTATGTGTTCCTTTTTGCTTTGAACGTCGCCATTTCCGGTTTCAAGTGAGTTTTTTGTTTGGTTGAGTGATTTTTTTTTCTGGAGCAGGAACCAACAAGTAAGTATCCTCAATGATTGGATTTATTTGTTTGGTTTCGCCCCCCCCGTCCCGTTTCAGGCAGCTGCTGTCAGCCCTGCGGCGCCGGGTGCTGCAGCGCC